TTTTGAAGGACAATGTTTTTGTAGTAAATAAGATCATGGAAGTCGAGAACATATTCCTGGCTGAAACGTTTCAAATGCGTTTCATTTAGCCTTTTACAATTTATTTGTTTGTTTGTTTTTAATAGTCTGCAGCATTTCCATTTCGATTTGACAATTTTTCATTTTTAAATTCAAACTCTTCTAAATTGTGAAACGTAATATTTTGACTCCAATAGAAAAAATATTTGCACTGTGACTGAGCTCATTAATATCCCAAAAGAATAGTGTTTATAACACTGTATGAAACAAATAAATATGTGCCACATTGTTTTTGAAAATATATGTTGTTTGTTATGTGGATGTAAATGTGCTTTGGTCAATCTCTATTATTATGTAAATGATATGCAAATCATATGCAAATTAGTCCGCCACAGTGGTTTAAATTCCTGGGGAGAACACTGAATGATGAAGCTAATTATTAGCTTTCATATCCACTAATTGTCATAACAAATGCAAAACCAGACAAATAGTTATTATACATACACCAATGTATATTACACACATTATTCTAATATCAATATTATTATAAAATAAACAATTATACGTAAACAGTATATGAAAAATTGAAAAAACTGACATAAAATACAACTGACTTTTTTAATCACTATACACATGTATTACCATGTGAACTGAGAAATGCTACATTATTCTAATATCAATATTATTATAAAATGAACAATTATACATAAATAGTATGTGAAAAATTGAAATAACATTAAATACAACTGACTTTTTTAATCACTATATTATCATGAGAACTGAAAAAAAGGATTTTTGTATGAGAAATGCTATCATAATTATTGAGTCAGTAAACCTTATAATACCTGAGCTGAATTCACCATGCAATTTGTGTAAAAGGCAATCATATACATAATATTTTTTAGGAAAAAAATATGCTCCTAAATCCTGAAACATTTCCTAAAATAAGACATACATGTACATATATTGTATAGTTTTCACTCTGAGCTACTGTTCTAAATTCATACATCATTTCTCAACAATTTAGTCAGTATGACTGAAACCTAGACACACCTAGCTGCTTATTTTAAATGGAGAAAACAATACAACTTACAGTTGCTATGGTAATAAATAAATAATTTATTTGAAGTACGGGTTGCAAGTAACACAACTGCAGTATATTGTTATTTGATAAATTACAGTATCAGCCTTCAAGACTGGCAACAAATAAAGTTAAGAGGCCTGGTTATAATGAAATGATTTATAGATCACTTTCAATATGACATGCACAAGTAGTGCTTTACACCCATAAATATATTGCAATATATTCTTATTTGTTTTCCAAAGATAACAATAATGTGGTGCCAAAAGAAACACCCAGATTTCACATTCTTTGTTCCTTTTTTGAAAAACAAGATAAATTGGAAAATAACTTAAATTCTCTTTTATATAAAACTAGGTAAAAGTTTGCGAGTTTTAGAGCATATAGTCTTTTTTTGCGAGAACCTGCATGGTAAATGCAATGATGACATAATCTATTGTATTTTATAATTTAAAAGCCAATAAATTAATGATATTTTGTACTTTTATATTATTTATGTAAAAAATCTCATTTTCAGTTTTGTTAAAATATTACCAGCGAGTAAGTATATACCGGTAGGTACTACTTTAAGCAAATTTATCAATAATTATCATGTTCTAATTATGATTATTGTGAACATCTAAAGTTGCACTCTTTTGAATTATTGGTCTGTTTGTCTGAAGTAATTTTGATGTACGTTTCACACATATCCATACTAAATATGTCACATACAGAGCAGGCACTTGCACTTCACAGGCCAATGACTTTACCTTGGCACCTTTCGAAAATACAAATATTTTCTATATACATTGTAATTCCTTTACACTAGGGCAATTTTGGCTTGAAAATGGGTGTCCTCTCAAGAGGGTCGGCAAGGGGTATTTTCGGAAGCTGTAATCAATTGTTTCTATTTTCGTAAAAAACGTAAAATGCCGTTTTTATTTCCTGTAATCTGTACCAGCTATCCCCCCTTGCTCCCCCTCTCTCAACTCTGAAGCCCTGCACATAATTATTTAATAGACCAAACCACCAATAAACCTATAGGTACATGTATATCATCTCAGAATACAAGAACTTCCATACAGAATGCCATATAACTATTGCCGAGAGAGATGAGTTGCTGGCATACTGGCTTTTTGAAATTTGATGGCAATCTCTAATGTAATTTTAGCATGCACTAAATGTAAGAAAGACGTAGTACATTTATTTGGAACAGACATTCTTGTCCAAAGAACAGGCAACTATTAATTTTGATCCATAATTTATATATGGCAATGTCTTTGTGGTGCAAGTATGGTAAGTGTAAAATTTCTACCAGGTAAATACTGTAAAATACTTTATTTTCACTTGGAATTAATTTTTGCTATTTTCGCTGAAGGAATGATTCAGTGAATATAAAATCCAGCGAATATACCTTTTTTCCCTATATTTTACATTCAACTTGTCAAAAATAAGTGAAAATAAATTCCATGAAAAACACCCAAAAAGCCTTTTCAGTGAAAATTAAATCCAGCTAAAATAAAGTATTTTACAGTACAACTAATACTAGTAGATAACGTTTGTTATCATGTCTATCATTCACTGAAGCATGCAGGTTAATGGCAAGTCTGATCAGAAGCCCAAGTGAACACACATTTTTTTTTTATTTTGTTCAATTTAAAACCCCATTGTCTCTAGCTGGCTCAGAAATGGACTCTAAACTGAAACTGTCTGCTACATGTACATTAATCAAGTAGACCTAGACCTAGATGATAGCTAGCAACAAGGGTTATCATAACAGATCAAAAGGCAGTGTTGTTCGCAACTAATTAACTATTGGTTCAGTATACCATAATCACTCTATTTGAATAAGCATACACATACTTGTATATTTAACTTCGGTAGAATTTCAAATATACCATACTCTGATTTGTACAAAAAATAAATGAACTTCTAATAATTTGTCAGCACTTGGAAATCAATCTGTTTTTCACTATAATATCGTATTTGCTCTATTTGAAGTGTATATGCTTATGTTACCGGTAATGACAGAGTTGCACTTGTGATAAAAATAATATTTTAGTCATATTTTAATTAATGATCTACATGTATATAATAATTGCATTTTTTATGTGTTTCTATTTGAGATATGCTGCTAACAGAGCAAATGCAGTATATGAAGCATAAGGGTACATATAGTAACACAGTTTATAATTATCATATATATAATTCATGCATAATAAAATGTTATCAGTCAATCGGTATATAACTTGTTCATAGAGATAGTTGATACGAGTGATGTCATAAGACATATCAGCAATTATTATCTACAAACTGAGAAATAAAAATTCTCCTGAACTATGTTTAGAAATCAAATGTTAATTTATGCTAAATACATGCTATATTTTAGCACATTTGTCACTGAATACTGAATATGACACAGCAATATACATTGTAATTTCAATTTTCAGTCAGTGTGATTAAAATAATGTTATTTTAATACATACATTTTATATATTATTTAGTAAGTGATATGTTTTTATGATGATTATTTCCTCGGGCCAACTATCGATTCAAACTGTCTGTCAAGACAACTGTATCTGAAAACACCCGGAGGCTGAGTACCACATTTAGTAATTTTATATTAGTTAGTATTATAGAGATCTTGTATTATTTAGTAATTTAGTGATTGTTTAAAGTTCCATGTTCACAGTTAGTGTTTCTGTGATGAGTTTACTATCAGAACAGAAAACGCAAATAACATTTAATTCTAAAATCATTATGTTACATTTAGTGTTTGCTGTTAGTTTTACAGCTTTGCCAATGCACATACGAATGCATGACTGAAATTGAAAAGGTCAGGTGCTTGGCTACCTATGTGTGCTTGCAAATAAACAGGAAACCCGGACTGTAATGGCGGGTGAACGATGCACTGAGCAAGATTGTTAAATAAAAAACAACCATGCGACCTCGCAAAATACATGGAAATATAAGAATTGATTAGTTTACTAAATTAGCATATTTATGTACGAACATAAAATAATACAGATAAACAATGTGAATTAAAGAAGCACTTAAATAAATTAGGTAGATCATGGAAGCGCTCATGACTTGAGCTGGCGGAAAAAAACAAAAATGTCCCAACAGACATTCTGCGATCTAAACAACTTACCCGACATCAACGTGAGACATCTTTAATTATGTGAAGCCGTAAGTTTTATGTGAAGTATAATTCAACACCATAGATGGTGGCTACACGCTGTTAATAGGAGTTTCTCAAAACAAATCCATTCGATTCGTCGCAGGGTAGCATAACAGACCACAGCGTAACCAGGGAGGACATGTGATCGATGACGTCACCACATAAAGCGCGCCCTCGCTACCCAGGGAGTTACAGAACTTGGGGTCAAAAAAGGTGAGTTTATAATTATAATATTTTCTATAATTCCCGTTAAATCTATGTTTAATTGTAAAGAAATTAGAATTATCTGTGTTAAAGATAAGATGATTAACTGTGTCACCTTGCCGGATCATTTGAGGTGAAAGGTCATTCTATAATTATCCAGATTTCCGGTTTAGGCGGTGCCGATACACTGAAATTCAGTGGTAATGATAATATTGTATTGAGCTTTAAGACCGCGTTTATGTGGTTGTCACCGATGTGTCAGACAAATACTGGTGACTATACGGTAAGTACGATCGAGTGTTAAGCTTGCGAAGTGTTTGTATAACCCGGAAATTGGCGTATAAACTGGATCAGCGAAGGAATTCATCGAAATGGAAAACAGCTGATCGTGGTCGTTAAAAATCACAACGGTAACAAGAAGATTTCGCAACGATGTCGTAAAATTTGATAATATGCTATCATTTGTTCATTCATCGTATTGGAACTTGCCTCGATGCTGTTACGTAATAATTTCCGATGTTGTTCTTCCGCAATCTGCACGTATGATATATGCTTACGTATCAAGCCTTTGAATATTGCACTCATTTTGCTTTGATTAAGGTCACATAATTTACGAGGATATCGAAATTACGCGTCGAAGTAGAATTGTTATGGTGTATAAAAGTACCAAGAGAAAATAAGACGATGTTGGAGACATAGTTGAATATATTATTGTCCGTGGCTGACCAGTACAGGTAAGTGGTACATGTATGTACGTGTGTAACACAGTATGTAATCTTTATCTACACACTTATATATGCTTGTCATTTGATTCATGGAACTTTGGTACAGTGAATGGTCAAACCTTGGAGGTAAAAGGAGACATCTAATTTTACCGCTCTGGTCAGACATACGTTTTGACTAAAGATTCATTGGGGGTACTTGTGTGAAAGCTATCTATTGCCTTGTGTTATGCTTGTACACAATGACATCATCAACAACTTGAACTTTTGGCACTTTACCAAAATTAAGATTCTGATAATTTATGCATTGAATCAAATTTCGCTGTACAATGTACTAGTAATTCATCAGTGTATCCGTACATGCTCTGGACATATGTTTGTTCTAATTACTGATAGTTTGTACATTAAACTGAGCCTGCAATATGAATCGCCTTCAGTGTACAAACTGCATGCACCTTATATTTAGTTAAAAAAGAATAAAAAAATAAATACTGTATGAATCATAAGAAAAGAGAGATATGATTACAAATTATAAAAATGAAATAGAATGTTACATATAATTTGGGAAAAAATAATGGGGATAATATATACAAAGAATGTTATATTACTATTTATTTATTAACACTTCACTTATTCCCAGAGGAATGGTTACAATGACAGAAAACAAAGTCATGAATATATACATGTTTATACACTGTACAACAAAACAAACCCAACAAAGTATGCAAACAAAAACTCAATAATAATGTAAGAAATGTATTAGGCTGCTCTTGTGTATAGTCAGAGGGGTTTAATTAATTTGTAGTGAAAACATAGTTGTAATCGCCATGTTCTAATCTGCATAGCCATTGAATCTCTGTTCTAATTTGCATCACCATTAAATCTCCATGTTTTAATTTGCATAGCCATTGAATCTC